TTCCCCAAATTCAACTTCATCATTGATCTTGTGGCACTTGCACTCCTTTTGTTTTCATTTTTCTGGAATAGGTTTGCTCCATCTAAAATTACCTTTTTAAATTTTATTTTTATTTTTTAATTATTTATTTATTTGAGAGATAGGAAACACAAGCAGGGGGTGAGGAAGGGCAGAGAGAGAGGGACAAGCAGACTCTCCGCTGAGCAGGGAGCCTGATGCGGGGCTCCATCCCAGGACCCGGGATCATGACCTGAGCCGAAGGCAGGTGCTTAACCGACTGAGCCACCCAGATGGACCTAAAATTGCCTTTTTATTTTTAACTACTCCTGAGTCCTTTGTTTATATGTGTCTCTATAAAATAGAAGACAGTTGTGGGGTTTTTAAATCTAATTTAAGACTTTTTTCTTTTGATAGCTGGGCCCATTCTACTTACAATTTTGTTGTGACATATTTTAGTAAGGAGTACCACAATCTATTTCATGTTTTATTTTTAGTGTTTTAATACTACTTAGTTTGTTTTCTATCTTTTTCTTAACTTTCCATGTTTTCTTTAAATGTTTTTCTCTCTGGTAATATTGATGTGAGCTTTTAATTCTACCAGTGGAACCTGTGATATATTAAAATATTATTTAAATTCTATTTCTTAATGCATCAATTTGGAAATTAGTTTTGCTGATTTTTACTTATGAAAAAAGAAATTAATCCTTTTATAAGAATTTTATAATTCCTCCCATCTGTATCTTAATCCTCGATATTTTTGATATAGACTAAAAATTTTATCTCGGTCCACTTGGGTTACATTATTATATTTTTTTCATGAAATCATATATATTCTGTTATAAGTGTGAGTTGTTCAAGGCTTTATAATTATGATTTAAAGTCCTGAGGCGATTTTTGAAAAATATTTATAAATATAATATGCCACCTTGTATTAAGAAAATACACATGTATCTGCTCACATGGGCCTATATACATATATATACATACATATACACATATATACATATACATATATATACATATTATGTATTATATGTACAATATGTACATATATGTACAATATTATGTATATATACATATATACATACATATACATATATGTATACATATATATGTATATATACATAATATTTATATAGAGAGAGACAATATATTTCATTGAATATTGTTAGCTTACATTTTAAAGTATGTCAGCATCTGTTCAAGCAATAGGGCAGATTAGATAGTATGATACTCCAGAGAAAAATAATATTAAAATTATTTAAAGGCTGGACAAAGCACATTTTACAAACCTTTTAATGGATTGCCGGACTGAGAAGAATGGATGGAACCAAAGAAGTCTAAAAAGAAGCCAACAGAGGAACATTCGAGGACAGCAAATCCTCAGCTGGACTGCTTTTGAGAGCAGCAAAGCCTAGTCGTACTGACCTCCCCTTAGGAAGCCACCGCGGCAAACAGAACCCCTACAGGGAGTCTGGACCTGCGAGGGGCCAACGCCTCATTTTAGCTGAAGTGCAACTACACTCACAGCCACAAGGAGATTAGTAGGACCCCAGATTATCTTGAATTTACTGCTGGAGGGAAAATAAAAACATCTTCTGCGAAATCATAACAGTGTATCCTGTGGGTGTAAGGCTTGAATCCATACTACTTTGCCGCCTGAACAAAAATCTCATGAGATAATTTAAATAGTCCTGGATTAGTGGTGCCTGAGGTGACTGGAGAAAACAAGTACACATGCTGTGTCCACGAAAGGAGCTCAGACAGAGTCCCTAAGAATGGCCATTTAAAAAGGCCCAAGGAAGACTGTGATTCACAGTTAAAAAAAATAAAACACACGAGCAAGTAAGCCACCATCCGTGAGCCGGATGAAACAAAAGCCAAGCAACGTAAATTCAGAGAGAATATAAAAACTGTGAAAGAGGTGTACAGTTCATGTGAAATGTAGTTATGTCCCAAAAAACATGACGACCTTAAAAAAATATCCAGGGAATAAAAAACCATACTGAAGACTGAGAAGAATAAAGCAAGAACCCAAAAGTAACTATGCTTGAATCAAGATACAGAGAGATAATTTTTATCAATCTCAACTATACAGTAAAGATTTATTTCAAGAAAATGATGACAAAGACATACTCAGGTAGACAAAAACTGAGTTTCCCATCAGCACACTCTCTGAAATTCTACAGGACAGAAGGGAAATTCTACAGGACAGAAGAAAAGTGATTCCAAATGGAAGACTTGAGATGTAAGAAAAATGAAGAGCAAAGAAAGAGGTAATTATGTAGATACAGCTGAAGAAACACTTCAGGGGCGCCTGGGAGGCTCGGTTGGTTAAATGTCTGACTCTTGATCAGCTCAGGTCTTGAATGCAGGGTCATGAGTTCAAGGCCCATGTTGGGCTCCACATTAGGTGTGGGACCCACTTTTCAAAAGGAAGGAAGGGAGGGAGGGAGGGAGGGAGGAAAAGGGAGGGAAAAAGGGACGGGGGGGGGGAAGAGAGGGAGAAAGGGAGGGAGGGAGGATGGATACAACACTTCAGTGAGCTTCAGACTTCAGGCAATAGCTTCTTCTGACCCACAGAAATCCGGAGGGCAGGGAACTATTAAGGGATAGCTGCCTGCGCGGAACACATTCACAGAAAAATGAGGTGAACGTAATGCAGTGATTATCCCCTAAAAGAATCCCTCCAGGAAGACGAGGTCTCTGCCTTCATGAAGACTACATTCTAGCGAGAAAGCCGGACGATCTCACGAATCACAGATAAACACATAATCGCAGGCTCAGCTGAAGTCGCTCTCGGAGAACCTTATGGAGTTCGCACACAGGGAGGGAGATGGACTCGGACGCTCAGAACGAGGCCGCGAGTCCGGGCGGCGCTCTGCTGCTCCCGGGCCGTGCTGCTGAGCAAGGCAGGGCCAAGGAAGCAGTGACCCCGGAGAGAGCCAGGCACAGCGAGATCAACCGAGGCCAGGAGTGCATGGAACACCGAGCCGGCCGGCGCCCGGCAGGGATGCAGCGTCCTCTCCCTCGAGTTACGAAAGTAAAAGAATTAGAACTGATAAACGTAGAATACAGTTTATTGTGGACACAAAAGCTTTTTCTAAATCACATATTCCAGGAATCTACTTCACGAAGGTCAACATATACACGGGCTTGTAAAAATAAAGCAAAAAACCCCCCCAAAACAAAAACAAAAACAAAAAAACAAAAGAATGAAAAAAAGAAAACACAAAAACCAAAAACCAAGACAGAGAAATGACTAAAAATATGGGATTTGGGAATCTAAATCCAGGCTGTAAAAGCCAAGCACTTCCTGAGGCTCACCCCCCCGCAGACCCCTGGGCTCTTGCTGCCTGTCCTTCGTGACCTCCGCAAACCACGTCCCCCCACTCTCTTTCACACAGAGCGGAAGAGGGTCATCCCACGCAGCCGTCTCAGTTCCAGGGTTCACTCACTTCTTTTCATGTAAACGGCTAGAAATGCTGAGTCCAGGAACCAGGCTTCAGCAGAGAACTGGGTTGGTCCGAGTTTGGGCCACAAACAGCTGTGATTGAAGGGAAAGGGCCACACGGTATTTACTCAGCTACCGAGGCCAAGCCCTGTGAGCTGTCTGCAGATCCCAGGGGCGTCATACGGAGATGTGCACGCGCAGGACCACCCCGAGCTGACATACACACCAGTAGAGTTTAAACATAATTGCAAACTAGATAATCGTTTTCTAAAAGGCACAATTTCAGAAATAAGGTTCTAGAATGAACAGGAAAGAATGAAATCCATTGGTTATTTTAGTGGCTTAGCCATTAGCCTGAAATATCATTTGAAGTGTTTAGAAGCAGTAGTGATACCTGAATAATTCAATTTAACAAATACTCTTGCTCTGTACATGGAAGACACTAGGAGAGATGCTGGTGAGTGTGAAGATGAGTAAGGAAAGGTCCTGGTCCTAAGGAGCTTTTAATCCTGGAACATAAATTTTTACTATGCGGAGGGAAGCAAGGGTTGCAGAAACGAAGAGCATCAATTATGGATTCAGTAAATCAGCCCAAGAAATATTTTTGTGCAACTACTGTTCGTCCTTTCACTGCTGTATTATTCGAGAGTGCTATCAAACACCTCAGAACACTTGCATCTCTCTTCCTATTAACATTTTATATAATATAAATAGCACACATTTTGATTACTCATGAATACAAGTATTACATTGCAAAAATACATTCCAAATCTCAAGTAATGATGCCTAACACACAATGCATAGCAAAAATTTTCCAAATATATTTATAAATGATTTCTATATATTTTGACTATGAACATAATTCTTATTGGTACAGAATGTCATTCTAAAATGTTACATATATGGTTTTAATATCAAAACAAAAATCAAATGCTAGTAGCTGAACATCTTGAAGTACTTTTTTAAAGTGCTTTGTACACGCTGCATTTGATGGTGGCCTGTGCTTTGAGGAAGTTAAACCAGAAACACAGCGCCCAGCCTCTTGCACAGAAGACTGGAGGACCCAAAAAGCCCCCGTGCCATGGACAGTCTCAGCTACAGCCACCATAGCTCGGGGACCCCCACTTAGTAACTCCGTCCCAGCACTGCTGGAGTTTCCTTAAAGAAATCTAGGAAATCACATTAAAAACACTGAACTTTTGTTCTCATTCTCCTCTACTGCAGACTGTGTTGTGCAAGGGCTTAGCCCACAGTGCTGAAACAGCTTCTGCACCAAACAGTAACTCTGGAAATGCCATTCCTAAGATAGGATACCATAAACCAAAACTAAAGCAGTAAATAAAGTATAAGATTTTATGCCCAAAGATTTTATGCTATGCTGGTAAATTTTCAGCTGGCAATAACTGTACATGGAAAGGGAACAAAATATAAGTTTGAAGGACCCAATTCCCATGCCTCTGTTGTTTATATAACACAGTGTATCTGTTTAAAAAAGCTTATGACATTTTCTTATCTAGAGTACCAAAATCTAAATTTAGATACTTACATTATTGCACTCTCCAAGGAAATACAGTGCAAATCCATCAGCTTTTGTGGCTGCCAAAGTAATAAAAAGGGAAGAAACTAATCTCAATGGGAGAACAGAGCACGTATGAACTCTCTAAGGCGAGACCTCAGATAGGAGTCTTTGCGACAAGACTTATGTTAACACAAGCAATGGTCATGCAGTCACCCGAGCAAGCTAACTCGCGGCTTTACTCAATCCCATAATGAGAGCATTTTCGTTCATTATTCATCAGCTGTTGGAGATTTTAAGATGTGACATCCTCAAACGCACCAATGTTCTATGTGACAGTGTCTCTTTGAAACTTTAAATATCAAAGCTATTGGAAATATTTTTAAGAACTGTATTTAATTTTTAAAGTACAAAAAATACCGGATGAGATATTCATAATAATGAAGGATTGATAATAGCATCAACCCAAAAGGATGGCATATATATATATATATATATATATATATATATATACACATACATACACACACACGCACATCCACATGTCATCACTGACGACACACATTCCTAACACTGCTTCGGGGCCATCTGAAGGCAATTATCCTAGCAGAGAACAGATACTGTGAGCAGAGGATTGCCTGAACGCAGACTCCTGCTTCACACTTTTGTACTCATGTGGCCTTGGGTAAAATATTTGGCCCGTCTGTCTTTGACACAGCTTCCTCATCAGTAAAATGGTGGTAACAGTATATAAGGCTGTCATCTCCCCAAATAAATTTAAAATGGTTTTTGTTCCTTAAAAATTAACAATTTCCTTCATAAAAAGGTGATTTAATTCAGTAAAATTATACTTTCCAAAGAAAACCAGGTTTTATCTAGAGAGCACAGTACATTCCATGTATATATCTGACAGATACTTTTTTGGGATTAGATAACTTAGGAACTTTTCGGTTTGACTCATTCTGGTAGTTTCACAATAAAATATTTTCATTTCAAATTTAGCCCAAAAACAGAAGTAAATAAATGACTTGCATTTGCCTTGTAGTAAAGTACATTACTTTTTCCATTTTCTGCAATGGAATAAAAGAAACTTCGGTTCCAATTTTCTACAGGAGGAATACAAAGCATTTCTTACCTATTTTAATGACGTTACTCAACTCATAGAGGAGTAGCTGGTTGTCTCCTCCTGCGTCCAGCCGCTGCTCTATGTAGCTGTTGAGTTCATACACAACTCCCTGCATATTCGTGTCTTGGTACTTTTAATAAAAAAAAAAAAAAGACATAACTAAATATAATAAACTAAAAACCCCTTAGTTTATAATTAACATATATAAATAACGCATATAACCCCTTAATTATTAACGTATATAACTTTATATACTTTTATGCTTTTACACACTATGCTTTTACAGAGCATTATTTAATTATTATAATCTACTATAAATAGATCGAAAATTAAAATTGCTAGGACTTAGAATTATAGATTCCATGTATGCTTACTTATATTAAAATATCAAATTTTACAAATTACCTCTTTATTTCTGAAGTTTTCTATATAATCAGTAAAAGTAGTACAAAAGTTTGCTAACGGAAGGAAACACTGTACGATGCTAGCAAGTGAGCTGATACGCACTGCACTGTGGGAGCAGAATTTATTCCTCTCCATTCATCTGCTCCAGCGGGGCCACCGCGCTAGCCGGGCCTCCGCTCCTCCCTGGACAGCAGGCGGCCGCTCTCACAGTCACCGTCACAGCAGTACCGACCGCCTCACTGCAAGTCCAAAGCTCCGGGCTTCGGTGCGGGAGCAGGGACAGCAGCAGGTGGTTGGGGTCTGGGTAAAGGTGCTAAATCATAGCTACTTCCAGCACAAGCTCGCCCTGTGTCCTCTGTAAAGGTACGAGAAACTGCCTTCCACGAAGTGTCCCCTCTAAGCCTATTTTCCAAACAACAGCTAGCAGTAGAATATTATGTAATATATATATTATATAATATATATATATATATAATATTATACACACACACACACACACACATGTGTGTGTGTGACATTTCCTTTATACATTCATCTGCTGACAGACATGTTGGTTATCTCCATGTCTTGGCTGTTGTGAGAAACACTACAGTGAACGTAGGTACAGATACCTGCTGAGAGAGCGATTCCATCTCCCTCAAATACAAACCCAGAAAAAGAGTTGCTGGATCATTGGATATTTCTGGTCTTAATGTTTTGAGAAACCTCTATAGTATTCTCCGAGGTAGCAATGTCAGTTTATATTCCCACCCCTAGTGCCCAGGGACTCCCCTTTCTCCACACCCTCACTGACACTTGTTACCTCTCATCTGTTTGGCGGTAGCCATCTTGGTGGGTGTGAGGTGATAGATACCTCATTGGGATTTTGCCCTGCCTTTCCTGGTGGTCGGTGATAGTCAATCCCTCTTCCCATACCTGTTGGCCAGCTGTGTGTCTTCTTTGGAAAATGTATGTTCAGCTCCTCTGCCCATTTTTTAACTGATCTATTTGGGATTGTTTTGCCATTCAGTTGTATGCGTGGGGTGTTTTATATCTTAGATATTACTTCCTTATCAGATATATGATTTGCAGATATTTTTTCCCATTCCATCATTTGCCTTTCGTTTGATGACAGTTTCCTTTGCTGTGCAGAAGCTTTGTAGTGTGACACAGGTGCTCGTTACCCCAACCACAGTAATCAAGCGCACACCTATGCCACCAGGTTGCACACTAAATGGACCCTTAAATGTATACAATTACTATTTGTCAAAGATTAAAAAAAAAGAAATAATTTTAATAATAAACATCTCAGTAATACAAATAACAAAGGACACAGAACACTTAATCTCTTTATAAAATCTCTCCCACGATCCTTCTCCATCAATCCCTGCCCCCCAAGGCAACCACTGTCTCTGACTTGCTCCCACCACACTTCAGCCTTGTTTTCATGTTTCGGATTTTATCGGAATGGACTCATACCCGATAGACTCTTTTGAGCCCTGCTTTATGTGTTTGAAATGGCACCACTGAGGCTCACACACGTTGCTGTGTGCTCCAGTGCTCTGCTCCTGCCTACTGCTAGGTACGTTCTGTTGCACGAATAACGACAAACGATGTTTTTCTCTTCTACCACTGTTGATCACTTGGGATGTTTATGTTTTCCAGCTCGGGGCTATGAAGAATAAAGCTACTATGAACACCTTTCTGTGAATACAGGTTTTCAATTAAGAGTAAAATTCTTGGGTCAAAAAGTGAATGTATGAATGCCAAACTTTTTACAATGCTACATATTAAGGACACCATTACCAAAATGATTTAGATATTTTATTTTATTTTTTTAAGATTTTATTTATTTATTTGACAGAGAGAGATCACAAGCAGGCAGAGAGAGGGGGAAGCAGGCTCCCAGCTGAGCAGAGAGCCCGATGTAGGGCTCGATCCCAGGACACTGAGATCATGACTGGAGCAAGAGGCAGAGGTTTTAACCCACTAAGCCACGCAGGAGCCTCTGACTTAGATATTTTAGATTAAAATAAATTATAAATAGAAGTCATTTATGTTACATAAACACCACTGGTAGAAAAATTCTAACTACTCTAAGAATGAGCGATCATAAGGAAGAGTTATGGAAGACTGGGAACCTCAAAGACAGACAAAGAGAATGGGGGTATGTAGCAAAGAGGGTGCTGCTGACCCTTTTGCAAATGCTTATTTTAAAAAGTTTTAAAATCCTAAATATCAGCCAAGGGACTAGTACACTCATCCTGAGTTTATCCTAGCATTACGGGGAAAAGAAAAGAAAGGAAAGGAAAAGGAAAAGAAATAGGAAAAGGAAAAGGAAAGGAGCGGAAGAGTAGTGCCTTTACTTGTTCTGCTACGTAATTGAGCAGAAAGGAAATGCTACACATGGAGTTGTTTCAAAGTGTGGTACAGGGTAGGAAGGCAGGTGCACCAGCAGCTCAGTGTGAAAGCTCAGAGGAAGCATCACACAGAAAGCTAGGAAGGATACAGAAGCTTGAAGGCCACAGGAGAGCAACACAGTAGGATACAAGGTTGAGAGGGAGACAGAAGGACCTGACACTGTGAATCCCTGGCAGAGGCGAGCCGGCCGGGATTCTGTAAGTGAGGTACTCTTAAAAACTGGTTAGCTCAACACAAGGAAACAGAAATAATAAGAACTTAATATTCCTAAAGAACATTATAATAAGTTTTTTTTTAAAGATTTTATTTTATTTATTTGACAGAGAGAGAACAGAGAGAGAGGGAACACAAGCAGCAGGAGAGACAGAGGGAGAAGCAGATTCCCCACAGAGCAGGGAGCCCCATGCAGGGCTAGATCCCAGACTCTGGGATCACGACCTGAGCCAAAGGCAGACACCCAATGACTGAGGCACCCTATAATAAGTTTTCAAAGGGCTTTCTATAATGTTTACTATTAGCTAATTTAATTTAGGATGAAAAAGGTCCATAATAAACATCTCAGTTTATGAAGGGGCTTTTCTTAATAACAACTTAATTTAGGAAAAAGGAGTCCATGAGATAAAACAGCTTCAAATCACTGATGGACACAGTAAGCATTTCTAGTAAGTTCAAGGCTGCTAGAAGAAAAGGATTCACTTCTCAGGGCAGATGAATAATAAAGTTAAGGAGAGAAAAGACGGATCTAAGTGCTTAACCCAACAGATCCATTTGTGAATGTCAGGATGTAATTAAGTCTTGTTTAGGCAACTATCTCCTCAGCAGGTGCCCAGCACTATCACAGTATCAGATAAAGCTCCCACTCTCACGGAGTTTAAGGACTAGCTGGGGAGGCAGGTAAGAAGGTGTCCGCTCGTGATAACACCTATGACAAAACTAAAACATTCTTTTGACTTTGTTGCCTTTTTAGTTTAATAAACTGTAATCCAGGGGGGCTGAATCCTATGCACAACAACTCTATGACTAGACCGTTAGCATATTCTTTTTCATACAATAAGGAAATGTGCCTTTAATCAGACTTCGGTTCCGAGGACTAAAACCAGCTATGTGTACGGGCTTAATACAGTCCCTCTGTAGTTAGTACTTGTCAACATCTCTCGTCTGAAACAGAGCTGTGGTCGCCAAGAATCTGGCAAAAGAGGAATGTGTTTAGCTTCCACGTAAAAAATTTTTTCCCGTAGTGGTTTGATACTGCTCTTTATTTTTTTTTAATTTTATTTATTTAACTGATAGACAGAGATCACAAGCAGACAGAGAGGCAGGCAGAGAGAGAGGGGGAAGCAGGCTCCCTGCTGCAGAGAGAGCCCGATGTGGGGCTCGATCCCAGGACCCTGAGATCATGACCTGAGCCGAAGGCAGAGGCTTTAACCCACTGAGCCCCCCAGGCGCCCTGATACTGCTCTTTAGATGAAACAACACACTGCCTACTGCCCTCGTGATTCACTCACAGGCTGGATCAGCAAAACCTTTCACAGGCAGACAACCCATGTGTCTAGTCTATTGTTAAGATTATGGGCTTCATCTTAAGCACAAGCAAACAAAGTCATGGTCTTTAAATGGTCAGTATGAAATGTTTCCATATAGCAGGAAAATGCACTTCGGTTATGTAGAGAAGTATTTTGCAACTAATTCTTTCAGGAAGCCGAGATGCCCAGTACTGATACTCCACACAGACTCCTCAAGTTTCTCTGCTTATTGTTAATGATCAGCAGCAAAGCCTCCATAATGAAATTTAGGCTAAAACTAACCATACCACGCTTTAGAAGAAAACTTCTTTTGGGCTTCCACAAAACTCAGCTTGCCTAAAGCTGTTTTGGCCTGTGTAATAAGGAAAACATGGACTTTGCTTGTAAGCACTCCTTATTCCTCACTAAGGTGGGGTGATTTTATAATGGAATAAGAAAGATTTATTGGGTTCTATGATATTCAAAATTCAAAATGCCAGAATTTCATTTTACCTGATGGGAACATTACATCTCCTGTCTGTTCCTCTGGTTTCTCTGTCTTCTAGATATGCTGATAATCCACGGGGACAGGCTATACCTGTCTGCCCTCTAGGTCCCTGTTTACAAGTATCATCGTTAACTGTCCAAGGCTCCCCTCTTAGCCGAAGTCTGATTAAAGGAAATTATACTGAGGAAGATTTTAAACACATGCTTTCTGTCTCCTTCTCCTTGTGTTCTAACTTCTACCTTGGGCCACAGCACCTTAGCCTTATCTACTAGATAAGCTTATCTACTAGAGGGAGGATCTAGGTTGAGAAATTAC